TAAAAGTGGCTGCCAAGTGGCTCCTGACAACTGGTGTGAACATCAGTGGGATGGATCTGAGTCACGGGCTGGCAAGGGGGTCCCACTGCCCGCCCAGAGGGCTGATCACGTCTTAGCAACCCCTCCCCCTTGGGACTCCACCTGTGCACGAATTCATGCACCGGGCCTCTAGTAGTCAATAATATTGCAATAACTTTGTATGGTGCCAGATGGGTACTAGACTTATCAAGAGGATCACTTCATAAGTTATATATATGTCTAACCCCTATGTTGTACACATGAAACTAATATAATATTGAATGTCAACTGCAATTGAAGGGGAAAAAAAAGAAGCACCCAAAAAAGAAATCTCCATGATCACATAGATTCACTGGAGACCTCTATCAAACATTTAAAGAAGAAATAACACCAATTTTATACAATTCCTTCTAGGAAATAGAGGAGATGGGAATAGTTCACAACTCATTTTAGAAAGCTAGTATTACCCTGCCTGACACCCAAACCAGGCAGATAGTACAAAAAAGAGAAACCTACAGACTAATATCCCTTATGAACATAGAAGCAAAAATCTGCAACAAAATATTAGGAAATTGAATCTAGCAATGTATGAAAAGAATTATACACCATGACCAAGTGGGATTCATTCTAGGTATGCAAGTCTGAGTCAACATTTAAAGTCAATCAATGTAATTCATCATATCAACAAGCTAAAGAAAAAAAACACCCATATGATTGTATCAATGCAGAAAAAGCATTTGGAAAAATGCCAACACCCACTCATGACAAAACTCTTAGCAAATAAGAATAGAGGGGAAATACCTCTACTAACCTATAGCTCATTTCATACATAGTGGAGAAAGATGAATGCTTTCTTCTTAAGAGTGAGAACAAGGCAGGGATGTCTGTTCTCACCACAACTATTAAACACTGTGCTGGAAGTCCTAGTAGTGGAATAGGACAGAAAAAAGAATAAAAATCATACACATAGGTAAGGAAGAAAAAACTGTTCCTATTGACAGATGACATGAATATCTACATAGAAAATCCCCCCCCGCCCCCGCCCCCGCCAAACCTTCTAGAACTAAGTGAGTTCTGTAAGGTTGCAGGATACAAGGACAATGCACAAAACTCAAACACATTTCCAGATACTCACAGTGAGCATGTGGGAACTGGGGTGCAACACACAGCACTGTTTATAATCACTCCAAAGAAAACAAAAGTTACAAACTGAACACAACGTGTCTAATATCTGCTTGCTGAGATTACAACATGCTGACAGAAAAAGTCAAAGATGATCTAACTAAATAAAAACACATTCTGTGTTTGTGGACTGGAGGACTCCATTCTCCCCACATTGGTCTCCAGGTATAGCATGATTCCTATCACAATCCCAGCAAAGCTTCTTGTTGGCACAGACAAGCTTATTCTAAAATTTATATGGTAAGGTGCAGGCCCTGGAACAGATAAACAGTCTTGAAAAACAGGTAGAAGAATCACTCTACCCAACATTAAGGCTGCTTTACACCTACAGTAATCAAGACAGTGTGGTATCAGAGGCTTAAAAATGACAGTGGAGTAAGTGGAAGCTATACTGACACTCTTCTGGACCAAACGAAATAAAACTAAAATATAGAAACACCACCCTGAAAAATCAACTGAAGACTAGCTGGAGAGAACCCTGATAACTAAGGACAGAAAGTGGAGACTGCGTAGAGACTGGCAGGAAATGCAGAGATGCGAAAGGGCTGTCTGGGTCCCACAGACAACAGCTGAAGGTCTGGAGGGATATCTCAGCTATAGGGGGTTCCCACTGAAAACTCTGGGGTTTAAACCCCAAGCTGAGCTCCCTGTTCCAGAGAACCAGACTGGTAAAGGTGCCCACATAACACCTGGCTGTGAAAAGCAGAGTTGCTGTCTGCCAGCCAGAGACAGTGAAAATGCAGGAACCATCTTAAAGGGCCAACACACAAAATTTTGTGTGCAGCCACTCACCTTGGGCTCTGGCAGAGGGAGGGCAGTGTGGATTGGAGATGTGTGAGAAGAGTCCAGAGTTGGGGGCTCGGGGGTTGGAGCTTAGAGGGCAGCCACCCTGTTTTCTGTGCTGAGTCATTCACTCATGCTGCAGAGGACATCTTTCTCCATGGACCTTTGCTATCAGGCGATTTTCCCCCTGGGGGAAGGCAGTTGCTGAATCCTGTGGGAAGACCTCTTGCTCCATCCTGTGGTTGATAGCCTGAGGCTAATCAAGTCTGAATGGGTCAGAGGTGGGTCTCTGGAGGCTTTGAGTATTTGCCTGATCTCCTTCTGGGCCCAGGGTTAGGAAAGGCAGACTCTGATGCACGTCTTGGTCTTTTCCAAAGACAAGCAGCCCCAGCAGAGGGAACCCCAAGCTGTGAATTGCTGATGGTTCCAAACAGGGTACTCAGGGCCAGTCAGAAACAGCATCTGACATAATCCTGCACTAGAGATTGGGAGTCGTAGCAGATCCGCCTAATACATAGACACAAACCCAAACAGGCAATCCTAATGGGGAGATAAAAAACAAAAAACAACAACCGCCAAATGAATGAACAAGAGAATTCTCCAGAAGAGGAGCTAAACAAAATGGAGATAAGAAATTTATCAGATATAGAGTCAAGAATAATGATGGCAAAGATGCTCCACATCATGAGAAAAGATACAGTAACTATGAAAAAAGACCAGTCAGAAATAAAGAAGGACATAGCACTAATAACACAGTGGAAGGAATAAACAGCAGATTAGGGGAAGCTGAGGATTGGATTGGTGAATTAGAAGACAGGGTAGAAAACTCTTGTTTTTCAATTGTTTTTTTCTTTTTGGCTCTCTGATTGTGTGATTTGACAGCTTAAAGGAGCTGTGGGACAACATGAAATGTAACAATATTCATATAATAGGAATGCCAGAAGGAGAAGAAAGCAAGCAAGGGATAATGTGTTTGAGGAAATAATGGCAGAAAACTTCCCCAACCTGGTGAAGGGAAAAGTCACACAAATTCAGGAGGCACAGAGAGTCCCAAGCAAGAAGAACCCAAACAAGGCCATGCCCAAATACATCATAATTAAAATGCCAAAAATAAAAGACAAAGAGAATCTTTAAGGCAGCAAGAGAAAAGCAATTTATCACCTACAAAAGAGCTCCCATAAGTCTGTCAGCTGATTTCTCATCAGAAACTCTACAGGTCAGAAGGGAATAGCATGAAGTACTCAAGGTAACGAATAGTACAGATCTGAAACCAAGATTACTATATTTAGCAAGCTATCTGGTAAACATATATGCACCCAATATAGGAGCACCTAAATACATTTAAAAAATACCAAACTTCTAGAGGACTTTAAGGAAGAGATCGACAGCAATATAGTTAGATTGGGGACTTTAACACCCACTGACTTCACTGGATAGATATTCCAGACAAAAAATTAATAAGGAAACAGTGACTCTAAATGACACACTGGATCAGATGGATTTAATTCACATTTATAGACCATTTCACCCCAAAGCTGCAGAATATACATTTTTCTCAAGTGCACATGGGTCATTTTCAAAGATAGACCACATGTTAGGACACAAAACAAGTCTCTACAAGTTCAAGAGGACTGAAATCATATCAAGCATCTTCTCAGATCACAATGGAATGAAATTAGAAATCAACTATAGCAGCGGTTCTCAACCTGTGGGTCGCGACCCCTTTGGAGGTCGAACGACCCTTTCACAGGGGGCGCCTAAGACCATTGGAAAACACATATATAATTACATATTGTTTTTGTGATTAATCACTATGCTTTAATTATGTTCAATTTGTAACAATGAAATCGGGGGTCACCACAACAGGAGGAACTGTATTAAAGGGTTGCGGCATTAGGAAGGTTGAGAACCACTGAACTATAGTAAAAACAGTAAAAAACATTCAAACACATGGAGGCTAAATAGCATGTTATTAAACAACTAGAGGCCTGGTGCATGAAATTCAGGGTCCCTTAGCCTGGCCTGCCCCCTCTCACAATCCAGGACCACTCGCCCCCAACCACTCATCTGCCTGCCTGGTCGCCCCTAACCACTTGACTGCCTGCCTCATCGCCCCTAACCGCCTCTGCCTGTCTTCCTGATTACCCCTATCCACCTTTGCCTGCCTGCCTGATCGCCCCTAACTGCTCGCCTGCCTGCCTGATAGCCCCTAACCACTCAGCCTGCCTGCCTGATTGCCCCAAACTGTTTGCCTGCCTGTCTGATTGCCCCTAACTGCCTCTGCCTCAGCCCCCGCTGCAGTAGCTTCAACCAGAATGACATCCGGAAGGTCATTCGGCTGTCCAGTCTAATTAGCATACTACGCTTTTATTATTATAGACAAATGGGTTGCCAATGAAATCTAGAAAGAAATAAAAAACTTCCTGAAAACAAATGACAGTGAACACACCCAAGATCTCTGGGACACAGTAAGAGCAGTCCTGAGAGGGAAGTTCATAGCACTACAGGACTATCTCAAAAAAGCTAGAAAAATTAATAATAAACTATCTAACCATACAACTTAAAGAATTAGAAAGAGAACAACAAGAAAAGCCCAGAGTAAGTATAAGGAGGGAAATAATAAAGATTAGAGCAGAAATAAATGACATAGAGACTAAAAAAATAATACAAAAGATCAATGAAACCAAGAGCTGGTTCTTTGAAAAGATAAACAAGATCGATTAACTGTTAGCCAGACTCATCAAGAAACCAGGAGAGAGGTCCCAAATTAATAAAATCAGAAATGATGCCTGGCCGGAGTGGTTCAGTGATTGAGCATCAACCTATGAACCAGGAGATCAGGGTTCGATTCTCAGTTGGGGCATATGGCTGGGTTGCAGGCTTGATCCCCAGTGTGGGGCATGCAGGAGGCAGCTGATCAATTATTCTGTTTTATCATTGATATCTCTCTCTCTCTCTTTCTCTCGCTTTCTCCTTTCTTCTCTGGAAACAATAAAAATATATATATAAAAAATCAGAAACGAAAATGGAGAAGTAACCTCTGACACTACAGAAATACATAGGATTGTTAAGAAAATACTATGAACAACTATATGCCTACAAACTGGACAATGTGGATGATATGGACAAATTCCTAGAAAAATATAATCTCCCAAAACTGAATCAAGAAGAATAAAAAAACCTGAATAGGCCAATAAGAAACAAAAGCAACAATAATAAAAAAAAAAATCCCAGCAAACAAAAGCGCTGGTCCAGATGGCTTCACTGGGGAGTTTTATTAAACCTTCAAAGAAGAACTAACACCTATTCTCCTCAAACTATTCCAAAAAAATGCAAGAGGAAGGAATACTGCCAAGCCCTTTTTATGAGGCCAGCATTATCCTAATTCCAAAACCAGAGAAATAGGCCAATATCCCTGATGAACATAGATGCTAAAATCTTAAATAAAATATTAGCAAATTGGATCCAGCAATATGTTAAAAAGATTATACACCATGACCAAGTGGGATTTACTCCAGGGATACAAGACTGGTCCAAGATTCACAAATCAATAAACGTGATCCATCACAACAACCTGAAATAGAAAAATCTCATGATCATATCAATAGATACAGAAAAAGCATTCGACAAAATACAACACCAATTTTTGATAAAAACTCTCAGCAAAGGGGGAATAGAGGGATCATATCTCAGCATAATAAAGGGCATATATGACAAACCTACAGCCAACATCATATCCAATGGGCAAAAACTAAAACCATTTCCCCTAAGAACAGGAACAAGACAGGGATGTTCGCTTTCACTGCTCTTATTCAACATAGTCCTGGAATTCCTAGCCACAGAAATAAGACAAGAAGAAGAAATAAAAGCATTCAAATTGGAAAGGAGGGAGTAAAACTCTCATTATTTGCAGATGACATGATATTGTACATAGAAAACTCTAAAGGCTCCACCAAAACATTACTAGATTTAATAAATGAATTTGGCAATGTAGCAGGATACATAATAAACATCCAGATATCAATGGCATTTTTATACTCCAATAATGAATTCTCAGAAAGAGACACTAAACAAATAATCCCATTAACCATTGCAACAAAAAAATTAAAACACTTAGGAATAGACTTAACCAAAGAGGTAAAACACTTGTACTCGAAAAACTACAGGACATTGAAAAAAGAGCTAGAGGAAGATATAAACAAGTGGAAGAATATACCGTGTTCATGGATTGGTAGAATTAACATCATTAAAATGTCCATACTACCCAAAGCAATCTACAGATTCAGTGCAATCTCTATTTAAATCCCAATGGCATATTTCACAGATCTAGAACAAATACTCCAAAAATTTATATGGAACTAAAAAAGACCCCAAATAGCCTCAGCAATCTTGAGAAAGAAGAATAAAGTTGGAGGGATCACAATACCAAATATCAAGTTATACTACAAAGCCACCGCAATCAAAACAGCCTGGTACTGGCACAAGAACTGGCATATATAGCAATGAAACAGAACAGAGAGCTCAGAAATTGACCCAAGCCATTATGCTCAATTAATATTTGACAAAGGAGGCAAGAACATACAATGGAGTCAAGACAGTCTCTTCCATAAATGGTGCTGGGATAATTGGACAGATGCTTGCAAAGAAGTGAAACCAGACCACCAACTTACACCATACACTAGAATTAACTAAAAATGGATAAAAGACTTAAATGTAAGCCGTGAAACCACAAAAATCATAGAAGAAACCATAGGCAGCAAAATATCAGACATCTCTCGTAGCAATATATTTATGGATACATCTCCTAGGGCGAAGGAAACTAAGGAGAAAATAAACAAATGGGGCTACATCAAAATAAAAAGTGCCTGCACAGCAAAAGAAACCATTTAATAAAATGAAAATGGAGCTCACTGTATGGGAGAACATATTTGGCAATGATACATCTGATAAAGGTTTAATAACCAAAATATGTAAGGAACTCATACAAGTTAACAAAAGAAAGACAAAGAATCCAATTAAAAAATGGGCAAAGGACCTAAATAGATACTTCTCCAAAGTGAACATACAAAAGGCCAAGAGACATGAAAAAATGCTCAGATTCACTGATCCTCAGAGAGATGCAAATTAAAACTACAATGAGGTATCACCTTACACCCGTCAGAATGGTTACCATCAACAAATCAACAAATGACTAGTGCTGGTGAGGATGTGGAGAAAAGGGAACCCGAGTACACTGCTGGTGGGAATGCAGACTGGTGCAGCCACTGGAGTTTCCTCAAAAATTTAATATGGAACTGCCATTTGACCCAGTGATCCCACTTCTAGAAAGATAGCCTAAGAAACCCGAAACACCAACTAGAAAGAATGTATGCACCCCTATGTTCATAGCAGCACAATTTACAATAGCTAAGATCTGGAAACAGCCAAGTGCTCATCAGTAGATGAGTGGATAAAAAAGCTGTGATCCCTTCACACCATGGTATACTATGCAGCAATAAAAAAGAAGGATCTCTTACCCTTTGAGACAGCATAGAGGGACCTGGAGAGTATTATGCTAAGCAAAGTAAGTCAGTCAGAGAAAGACAAGTATCACATGATCTCACTCATATGTGGAATCTAATGAACAAAATAAACTGTTTAACCAAATGGATCCAGAGACTTGAAAGAATGGAACTGACTGGGAAAACTCAGAGGGAAGGCAGCGGAGGGTGGGTAGATGGGAAGAGATCAACCAAAGAACTTGCGTATATGCATAATTCATGGACACAGACAGTAGGATGGTGAAGGCCTTGAAAGGGGGGTGGGAGGTTGAAGAGGGGTTGTGGGCGGGCTAGAAGGTGTCATTGGGGGGAAAAAGGAAACCTATGTAATACTTTCAACAATAAATTTAATTTAAAAAAAAGACAGTGTGGGCCTGGCTTGCGTGGCTCAGTGTTTGAGCGTCAATCTATGAACCAGAAGGTCATGGTTCGATTCCCGGTCGGGGCACATGCCTGGATTGTGGGCTCGATCCCCAGTGCAGGAGGCAGCAGATCAATGATTCTCTCATCAATGATGTTTCTCTCTCTCCCTCTCCCTTCCTCTCTGAAAGATATCTACACTAATAAAAGAGAAACATGGTAATTAGCGTACGACCGCTACCCTTTTCATTGGCTAATCAGTGAGTATATGCAAATTAACTGTCAGCCAAGATGGCGGCCGGCAGCCAGGCACTGAAGCGAGCAGGGAGGCTTGCTTGCTGCAGATTCCAACGTTCTCCGCCTAACTTGCCAGCCTCTCAGTTGCAACTCTAAGCAACTATATACTATGTTGCAAATAAGAAGCTAAACAAAACCCCAGAAAAGGGCTTCCATTCAGCCGGGCTCGGACCGCAACATTGTATCTATGTTTTCAGCAGCGAGGCCTCAGAGCTAAAGCTGGCCCAAAAAAAAAAAAAAAA